AGAATAATGCATTTTCACCATATAGTCAGCAGAACCCCACCCTAGTACTAGAACCCCTGACCCTGGGGCGATGAATTTCACAATTTAGTTAACAGTCTGACTGCTCAATGTCCAGAATAAAGGCCATCCTTAAAAAATTGTTGTTTGGAATTGCCGCCTGGGAGGTTTCAGACCCAGGAGAGAGGGAGGGAAATTATTATAATTTTTTTTTCAAAATTGGAGTTAAATTAAAAATTGATGATAAAAGTCTCAATGAGGAATGAACACATTATTTTCTGCCTTATTTTTTTTTTCAAAATTGGAGTTAAATTAAAAATTGATGATAAAAGTCTCAATGAGGAATGAACACATTATTTTCTGCCTTATTTTTTCCCATCAACCAGGAACCCAGTTTTGCTTATATCCTACACTTATTAAGTGTTTGTGTGGTACATGTGGTAGCAGGCCAAGAATTGATTGAATAAAAAAATCTTATTTTTGGTCAATAAAATTTTTCCAGGAGAGGTCATTTCAATGAGGCAGAAGGCAATTCCAACAAACAGTAATTTTATTTTGGCCTAATGAAGAAAATTTTTAAAGATTGCATAAATTTTTATGGTTTTGACTGACCAAAACCCCTCAGCCCCCCTCCCGTGGGGGGGGGGGGCAGGGCCACGAGTTTTTTTCAATTTTTGTTCCCCTTTACCCATAGATGCTATATGCCAAAATTGGTCGATATTGGTTTTCTGGTTCTAAAGAAGAAGCTGAATATGTTCAAAAGTTTACGACCGACGGACGAAAAGAGATGGAATTAGGTCACCTGAGTTACCCAGGTTACCTAAAAAATACCAGCTGTAGAACTTAGTTATTTTTATTCAAAATATTACATATAGGGTACATGTACATCATTTGTCTATATAACTCTATATAATTGTAATTATATCGGAAGTGTGCACGGTACTTGAATTTTGATCTTTAATTTATGAGAATTTATGAGAAAAATACTAGATGTTAAACTGAGTCAATTTAATGCAAAATATTCCACATGGGATATATCATTTTTCCGAATACCCCCCGCTTACAGTTTTAAAGCAGCGTAAAAGGTGCATTTTACCATATATTCAATTTGAATAACGTCAGCTGTGCTCTCATCAACATTGGTGCATTTGAGGTACGAATACAAAATAACTACTCAGACGAATCTTCAAAAAAAAAAAAAAAAAAAAAAAAAAAAAAAATTCATTGCATGTTTCAGAAAGACAAAGACGGTAAACCCGTCAGCTACCATAATATTATAATTATGCAAGTAACACGTATATTTAAAGTGTCTTGGAAGTCTACAATGAAGTAGTAATATACATTTGTTAAGTATTGAAATACGTTTAAAGTAGGTTTTACCACTCAATTTTATAAGGGAGGTATTACAAAAAAAACATGAGTTTTAATTTTTTTTTTTACCCCTTTACGATACCGGAAACGAAGTTATTTTTCGATTTAACGGAAAACGTTTGCTCTTTTTATCAGTAAGTCTTCAACGGTCTTGTTCTCCAGGATAAAAATAGCCGCCATTTAAAGTGTCGGATGGAACGGATGTGTGTTTGTAGCAGGTTGCAGTGAAATAAAAAAGTCTGTGAGCCAATGCTCACCAGTTATACACCCGCTTTGATTTGAATATACATTCTCATGAATCCCACCATATATGGCATGTCTAAGCGAAGAGTGTGCTAAAATTTCAAGCATCTGCCTTGGGCAGTTGCTGAGAAAACTGACAAAAATTTCATTATACACACACACACACACATATATATATATATATATATATATATATATATATATATATATATATATATATATATATATATATATATATATTAATTTTTCAACATCACCAGATGCAATTCAACGTTATCAGGAAGGTTTCTTTCGCATAGCAGGGTTCCCTGGGATTGTAGATGGCACCCATGTTCAAATAATTGTTATAATGAATGAGAATGAATCTTCAATAGACATCATTATCATAGTTTAAAGTGGAAGTTGTGTTTGATACCCAATTCAAACTGATTGAAATGGTTGCAAAATGGCCCGGTTCGACCCATGATGCACGCATATTAAATGAGAGTGGGCTTCGAATCATATTTGAAAATGGCCACATTCCTGTTCATACACATTGTGGGGTGACAGTGGCCACTCATATCGTATATGGCTAGTAACACCATTTAGAATTCTCCAGCCTGAACCACAGACAAATTACAAGTATGTATAATTCACAACATGGAAAAACCAAGAAAGTACGAAAAAATAAATGTCTAGTTTCAGCATAACCACTGATCAATGAAAGGAGAATAACTCTATATTCCATTTATTCAAGCTTTGAAAAAAAGTTATTCTCCCTTAATTGTCTCCCATAGAAAATCCTATGGAGTTTACAAAGAAGATGGAGTACAAAAAAGTATGGCGTCATATTTTGGACCCCCCAAAAAACTATTTTAAAAAAATCTCAGTCAGCCAAGTTTAATTTGGAAATGTTTGGCCAGAGACACTAAAGATAATTTTTTAATCGAAAGGCACAATTATATTTTGGAATTTAATAGTACCAGCAGGGATGCTATGATTGAACTATAGTCTATTCATTATTCTTAGCACTATAAATTCATTCTTAATTGTATAAATGAAGCTATAAATAATAGTTCTAAAATACATGCATGACCAAATAATGATTTGCTGTTGCATTCTCGGAAAAAAATCTGTATAAAATATACGCAGCAATGTTAAGGCTTCCCGAAGCTTTCAATGCGTTCAAAACACAACACTGCATTGCAAGGTCGGTTTTGATTTTAATTTGTAAGTTATGTACTTAAGTACGACCAATTAATATATGGAGTTCTCTTTTTCTCTATATATACACATATTTGTTATGATATCACATGCCTTCGTTGATCACGTGACGGTCATTTATAATTTTCGAAGAGTTTCACATTAATCACTTCGGCGCAGCTGATTAACACAATTATTATTAATTTTTTGTCACAAATAAACCGGTACAAAATATTTCACAATAAATTCAACTTACCGACAAAGAGCCAGGTTCGGTAGTCAATGTTTGGAGGCCCTGTCTATAATCAAAATACCAACGGAACTCATTCTGTTTGATATATTCATAAATATATAGCATAGGAACCGCAGTTAATTTTTTTATAAATGCATTGGCAGATTTGGTCATTGTAAGGAAGGAATGTATAATCCAAACCGAACATAAATCCGGAAATTGTGTGAAATTACGTAAAATATCAGCATGAAGTGTTAAATTTTGATGTGGCCGCATGGATCGACCAAAATAAAAATATTAAAATGAGAAATTAAAATTTAAAAGTCACATGAAAAAAATATTTTTTATCTTGGTCGAGGACTGCGGCCCATGTGTAATTTTGAAAAAAAAAACGTTGCTTTTGTCGTCTGCTTTTCGTCAAGAAAGAGGGAAATGGTGCAAAGAAACGTGTACTGTATAAGCCTAGCTAATACTCAGCAATACTTTATTTTGGAGATAATCAAAACAGTACAGGTACGTATAATTTCCTAATACATCTGATATGAAAAAGTTGATTTAATTACGAAACATTCTTGAGGTATATTTATTAAGATCCCAGTGGTGGATCCAGGAATCTTGAAAAGGGGGGGGGGCAGTTTGGGGTCGGAGTAGAGGCCCACGGCCACACAAAAATAAGATGATTTATATCTTGTGTATATTTTGGACACAAAAGGGGGGTCTGGGTCCCCCTCTAAATCCGTCTGTGGATCTCGTGTATGCGTCCCGCTTAATCTGACATTCCTCTGTTTCTAACCATCGTATTTGATCACCTTATATATTTGTTGATGACCGTCTGTATGTCTCATTCTTAATTTTCCAATATATACATTTTAAGTAACCTTCAATATATACCATGTTTGCATGTATATTTGAAATGTTTCATGTAAGATAATGCAGACGGATCAGGACAGAGGCGATCGTCGTCAATGTAAACAAATCGTACAATAGCGTAAGTGTATTTATTTACTGAATTCAAAGAAAAGACAATTCTCTATTTCTGTCAGTTGGAATTTAAAAACACGATAAAAACAATACAAAGAGAAAAAAAAGGCACAGATATATGAAAATATCCATAATTTGTTAAAGCCGATAAATAGACTACAAGTTCTTTCCAACAGTTTTTATAAAGATCGGTTGGCGTCGTGGAATGTGTGGGCGACCCGGGTTCAACTCCTCGGTATTTTTACTTAATTTTTTTTTTAATTTTTATAATAAATATATATCATTCATGAACGAATGATGTTTAGTTTAAATGTTTTGTAAACATAAAGATTTATTTCATTCAATTTCGTTTCACAGGCATATGGGGTATGGACCCCCTCTTTTTTCTGATATGCATTACATGTTATCAATAAAGGGTTACATTATTGAGAACATGTAATGCATATTAGAAAACACGAATAGGAATAAAGTGAGAATAGAAACGGGGGGGGGGGTCCAAACCCCAAGTGCCTGTGGTTCGTTAGAAACAGATTCAATTATGTGAATTCCCGCTTAATACTCATTTGTTCAATATTTACAGAATTTAAGTTTCACACTTGTTCATGTTTTCACTATAGTTAATATATTCTAAATTCTTCCTGGGTTTACCTGCATTTCATCTGTCTATTACCAACGTATTGTTGTATATAATACTTTTACTATCAAATAAAAAATACAAAATACAAAATAGTGCTCACACTAAAAATTAATTAAATAAATAAATGATTTAATATTTACTTCATCATTTTTATTTTTTGAAAAGGGGGAGAGGGGTTAAGAGTTTTACGCAAATTGATATCGACGTAATTCTTTCCTTTAGTATTAAATGTACAGATTTATCAAGAGATTTACTCAACTTCCAGGATGCCTGGGCAAGGTCCAAAGCAGTATCCATGCGTTCTTTGTAATAAACGCACTAAAGCAAAAGAAAGAAACCTATCAGTAGAATCCTGAATAGATGTTTCATGATAGAAAGAACAGATGGGAAAGTCATATGCAACAAGTGCAGACATAGATGCTCATCTATGCAAAAAAAGTCAGCTACCTGTTCCACTGGAGAAAAAATATACCTTCCTTCTTCAGTATTAATATCCAGCAGCCCAGACCGGAAAAAAAGAGCAACAAACATTCAAAGTCCACCATCTGTTATTCTGCCAATACACAGCACTGTCAAGAGTCATGCCTACTGTGTCCTATGCAAGAAACCAGGACCAAAGTTAATAGTGGTATCAACTGAGACTAGGTTTAAAGTCTTTATCTCGCATAACGTATTAATACCAAGTGGAGCCCGATGCTGTCCTTCACATTTCACAAATGGAAGACTCACTTACGAATCATTAGAGATCATACCAGGTACAAAAGATCACTCGTTCGTAAACAGAACAACTATCATGGAGCTCCTACAACAACTAAGAGACGAAGCCAATGCTAAGGGGAGACAACGCCTAGACTTTGATGACCCAGAGGCACTGAATGATGATGACTACCAAACACTGACAGGTCTTAGTAAAGTGGACTTTGACGACATTTTAACGTATGCCAGATCCACGGATATCAGACCATCTAAATCTAGAAGCATCAGAACATGTATTGCTATACTTCTTACCAAGTTGAAGACCTCTTTGGACAATAAAATGCTTGCTGTGATGTTCAATATGTCTAAACCACAGGTATTTTACAACTGCTTTGTAAAGTAAACATGTACAGCAGTCAAAAATTGTTTGAAATACTAGTATCTTTTGATCTATTTGTTAAACTACAATTTTATCTAAGATAACAGGGTTCCTTTCTGTGCATATTACCATAGACTTGATCATACATATGTATAACCGGTCTGTGTTTTAGATTCGAAGAGCTGTATCAACGGCAAGACAAGCTTTGTGCAACAGCTTTGTTCCACAACACCTCGGATTCCAGCATGTGACCAGAGATACCATCATCCAGGAGCACACAAGGCCACTGGCAAAAGAACTTTTTGCCCCCAGTTTTGCTGATGAGAAGGCAATATTAGTACTTGATGGTACATATATTTATGTCCAGAAAAGTACAAATTTTGCATTCCAGCGACGATCTTTTAGCATGCAGAAACATCGTCATCTTGTCAAACCTATGATGATTGTTTCCACTACTGGGTACATCATAGCAGCTATTGGACCCTATTTGGCTGATGGCAAGAACTCTGATCCCAAGATCCTAAACCATATTTTTGCAACAAATGTTCAAGAAATAAAATCGTGGATCAAGGAAGATGACATTATGATTGTTGACCGAGCTTTCAGGGACTCAGCTGGAGTATTATCTGAGATTGGAATCAACATGGATATGCCGTCCTTCTTAAAGAAAGGTCAAAAACAGCATTCAGCTGAAGAAGCAAATAGTTCCCGACTTATAACGAAGGTATTTATTCTCTTAATTATGTAATTTTAAAAATGTGGAAGGAAAAAATGTGGTGGAGGGGGCAAAAACCTTCCCAAATTTAGTATAGAGGAATGAAAATATATTTTGTTTGGATCAAAGTTTATGTACTTATATATTCTATTTTCAAAAACAGATCCGATGGGTAGTTGAATCAGTGAATGCACGGATAAAGACATGGAGATACCTTGGAAAACAGCTTCCGAATTCACAAATTCCGTGTATTGGAGATTACGTCAGAATAGTCAGCGCTATTTGTAATAAATATAGGTACTAATTACAATGTTTTTAGAACAAATGTTTAATTATATGCTGGTACATGTATATTCGTCTTATCAAAAGGTTTTTTTTGTAAAGAGACTAAGTTAAATAGTATAATGAAAAAGGTATTTAGTCATTTTTAATTAAGAAATAACACGCACACATACACACACATATAAAAAATAAAATTACATCATGTATTATTTGCTTAGCTTTCTACTTTTCCACTGTTAAACAGATCTCCTATCAGCACTGGGAACGAAGAGAGTGATCTTAATATGGCTGCAAAAATGCGACATTTGCTCTCAAAAAGCAATCTCTTGCAACAGGAAGTCGAATCTCATGGCCTGGATAAAAAGTCTCATAGATGGACGAAGTTAGATGAAGCAACAGCAGATCTGGACGACTTCCCTGGGTTCACCGAAGACGAAGTCCGAGAACTAACTCTTGGAGTATACCAGGTGAAACTGGCAAAACGTTACTCTCAAGAACACACTAACCTAGATGGGACGTATGAAATCTGGATTGACAAACAACTACCGGGTCTTCTCATTGCGAAACTTCAGAGCAGGCACATATCAAACTGCAGATATCAATGCTGGATAAGATACTCAGAAGGTGCAGTAACATCGTGGTACTGTCGATGCAGGTCAGGTGCAAGAGTAGTAGGGGCCTGCGCCCATATAACAAGTGTCATCTGGTATTTGGCAAGACACGAACATGTGAGTTTACAAATGAGCAAAAACTGGTTGGACTCACTTGAAGGTGCGGCTCACATCCCTGAAGCTATTGATGAGAGTGGCAGTGAGGCAGAAGTTACTGATGGAAGGAAATGCTTGTTCTAACATTAAGGGAATTTTCAACACAATGTTTTTGTGAAAATGCGTTTCTTGAAGAAAAGTGAAATACATGAAATATGATATATTTTGCATAATTTTAATAATGTAAAACAATAAAATAGATAATAGCTATAAATAATTAAAATGATAGAATGTATTATCTAAGGTATAAAATATTATGAAAAATCTTGGTGCAAAATGGTCGTCCTAGATGGATGCTAAGGCAATGTATTCGTTGTGGGAAAAAAACAATGCATTGTAATATATACATGTATATATATATATATACATGTATATATATATATTTCTTCCTTGATTACCTGAAAAAAAAATTTGAGGGGCTTTGTATTTTCCCTACCGTTTTAAATTGATGACAATAATGACATCATAATGCTAAAATAAGACACAATGCAACATAAATACATTCCAACTTCAGAACGTTATAGCTACTTAACTATAAAAGATTGATAAGAAATGTTTATATATTGATAAAGTGCACATCCTAATTGATATTCTGGTGTATTATTTTCGATTTTCAAAACAGGGCCGATTTTTACTACTAACGTACTTAGCTCTTTCAGGGTATTTTCCACTCAATATCGTCATCTGTATTAAAACAAAGCCATCACACATTTTTCTTAAGCAAGATTCAATTAGAGAAGAAACTCCTCTTACAGAATTCCCCAAAAGATCTCAAATAAATCTTCATTAATCACCTGCGCCAGGCTCTTTTATACACATATTATATATAAATTCTACCTCAATCCAAGGGTATAAAAAAGGGTAAATGTAAAACATATATTTTTTCGTATATTTTTTGAACAAGCTGACTTTTAAACAAGCGTAATAAAGCAAAGTTATCTAAGATATTCGGATACATAAGATTTAGAAATAAAAGATGTAAACACGTTTATTTTACACTAGCTTTCTGACACTTTATATGCAGATTGAAATAAGTTGCAAAGTTTATGACACTCTCCCGGCCCATCATAACAGCTCAAGTTTGCATGGACTTGACGTCATTTTCAAAAATGACGCCATACATTTGTAGTTCAGAGAAGTGAAGCACAGAGTACACTGCAATATTCTCTGGGAAGCTTTAAGTTAAACGTACCTGCGTATTTTTTAATTTATGACATTTAAAAAAAAACCAATAACATAAGATTAGAAAGAAAATTTATGTTCAGATAATGTATTTGAAAAGGAAACTGAAATGATATTTTTAAATTTTATGAAAAATTTGCGAATTATCAAATTTAAACCATATTCAGATTGAAATGAAACTAAATTAAAAAATTAATTACTTTAATGATTCATTATTTAAAATTTTGGTTTTGTATTCCCTCTTTATTTTAACATGTAACTACAATCCTTATTCTTCCAACTTACGTTTGAGGGCCTTTACTATTAAATCAAAATACTGTAGTTCTAATTAGGGCCCCGATCTGCGGGTGCCCTATAGAGATCAGTCTGTCCGTCCATTCGAGATCTCTTGTCCGAAGCATATCTTCTCTCTCCTTGGTCCAATCTGGCTCATACTTCACCCACAGGGTGACTTTGGGTAAAGGGTGTGCAGTGACCTTGAACCATGTTTCTAGGTCTAAGGTTAAGGTCATAGCAGAATTATATGAAAAATCCTTGTTCGGAGCATATCGTCTCTCCCCTTGGTCCAGTGTGGCTCATACTTCACTCACAGAGTGCCACTGCTTAATGAATGTGCAGTGACCTTGAACGAAGTTTCTAGGTCAAGGGTCAAAAATAGCCTCTCTGTTTAAAATCTTTGTTCGGTGCATAATTTCTTTCCCTCAAGTCCAGTCAGCCTCAAACCTTACCAATTGACTAAGGGTACGGAACATTTGTGATTTTCCTTCCATAATTCTGATAGAGGATTTGCAACAATTTTCATTGAGGATAAGCAGCATTCGTGATTTTTGTGCCGTTTTCTGATTGAGGGTATGGAGTACTCGTGATTTTCGTGTCATATTTTATTATAACAAGGATAACATAGAAGCCCTTTAGATTCAAACAACACATCCCTTAATAGTACACAAATGTTCCTCTTCAAAATAAACCCTTTTCAGCTACCTTACATTTTCATGTTCATTGCTGAAAGCGGGGCCCTTAGAGATGCCACCATCTCAATGATATCTAGTTTTAGTTTCTTAATAGTCAGCTCCTCAACCATGCCCCGAGGTTATAAAACTTTTACCATACTCGTACTCCAAACTCCGAGTATGAACTCCGCTGAGTACATTTCTAAACTCGAGGCTATAAAACACTTGGAGTACGTTCTCCACTGAGTCAAACTCAACGGATTTGGAGTATGAAATCAAACTCTGGAAATACAAATCTTCAGTTTTTGGAGGTAAGAAATATGCAAACGTAAATAGTAAAATGTGGCGCCACGCACGTGCTAGTACCCGGTATATACCTTATTTGGGCAATTTATGTACGTCTGCAAATGTAAATAAACGCCTGCTTCACTCTGTCATTCGAAAAATGGAAAACAACACATATTCCACTCAGGAGATTCCAAAAAACGAAAATGAGGAAAATGTGTTAATTCAATGCGTTGTGGAGAGGGAGGGTGATTTAGTTGGGGAGATTTAGGGGTTGGGAACGAGGAAAAAGTCGGTTGCAAATAGAGAGGAATGGGGAGAAATTAGCGGCATCTTGAACTTAATATAGTTGCCTTGACCGAGGATAAACATAATCATCTGTGGACGAAACCGAAAGTGATCATAAATTTCATCATCTTCCAAGTTTTCCAAAGGATTTGATTTGTCTTTGAATAGTAGCGGACGCCTGTTTTGCTGAAACATTTGTCGTTGACAAAATTGTCGTCTGTGAGCAGCCATGTTTGCTTGTTTAAGAACGATTGCTTTAAAGCATATGTACTCCGTTTGAGTACAAGTATAATAAATTTTCATTAACTCAACTTTGGAGTACCAATATGAATTTGGAGTACGGAGTTTAAGTACGAATTTGAACTTTGAGTTTTATAACCTCGGGGCCAGATCATGTGTAGTTTGAGGTGACTTTCTTGACTCTACTGGTGCTCTGGATATTGTGTGGGGCAACAAAGGCGACCTCTGAGTTATCACAGGCAGGCATGTCACTGTAGGAGTTGGTGAAAACAACTCTATGGACAATGGCACAATGCTAGTTGATGCTGATGATGTATTGTTTGTTGATTGATTGTATGTTGTTGAACGTCCCTCTCGAGAATTTTTCACTCATATGGAGACGCCACCACTTGCCGGTGGAGGGCTACAAATTTTGACCTATACTCGGCACTTAGGGCCATTGAGCAGTGAGGGATCTTTTTCGTGCCAGCACCTACTGCGACACGGGACCTCGGTTTATACGGTCTCATCCGAAGGACCGGTCTCCACGTCCCGCAGTCGGATTCGAACCCGCGACGGAAGGATCAACTCCTTACTCCGCGACTCTAGAGCAGACGCTCTAACCACTGCCCCACGCGGGCGAAACTATTGTTCGTTTTTGCATCTTGTGAATACTGAATAGAACTGAAACAATAAAAAGTGTCAACTTTTATAATTATTCATGGTGTTTTCTTTTTTTTAGGAAAGTCTTATGTCCGCTGACGATAATTTTTATGTCTTCTGAACTACTCCCTTCATTATTCTCCTAAATTGCCTTTCTACTCTTCATTACCCTATAAAATTTTAGCCTGAAAGCAAAAACATACACTTTCTTTCTAGGGTCGGTGATATAAACAAATCATTTTTCAATTGAAGAGAAGTCCATAATTTTTTTAATATAATAATATTAAGAAATGGAAGAACATTACTTCTATTTACCAAACATATTAATCTGTAAGAAGATGTAAAATCTGTGAAGAGATATATCTCCAACGATCCCACCAATGATGGAAATTGTTACCCCAATCACCTTGTATTAGTGTAACCTGTGGCAGTTGTCTCCTTTCTGAAGGAAGAAATTTCATATTTAGATGATAAAATTTTGTGCCACTTCTTCTCAACTTCCTCGACGGTTCTTTTCACTCGCTTCGGAATCAGAAGGTCGATCGTGACTGACTGAAGTCGATAAAAAAATATTGGTAGGAATTGTTCCTTCGCCAAGCGCTCGGCACTTGAATTGAAAGTTGCGGGGCTTTTGGATGATGCCTTAAAAACCGAGGCCCCGTGTCGTAGGCGTTGGCACAATAAAGAACCCTCACTATTCAGTGGTCCTGAGTGCCGAGTAAAGGTCTAAATTTGAAGCCCTTCACCGGTTATATTGACGTCTCTAAATGACTGAAAAATTCTTGAACGGGACATTAAACAACATATAATCATTCAATCATTGACGGTTCTCGGCGGCTTACCAGATGCGTTGAGTTGAAGTGTCAACTTTTTCCCATGTGTCTTTTTTAAGTTTTGATGTAGCATTCGTTCCTAATTTTGACCGCAGTATGTCTTTATTTTCATTAACTAACATTACAAATAGGGCTGGGACGATAAATCGATTTAATGTGAGGAAGATACACATATCGATACGTATGAGAAAATATCGAAATATCGTCAAAAAAATTTGACTTATGTTCATCTTTGTTTACTTAACATTTTGGGTTAAATATATAAAATAAATATGCTAAATATAATTATAGATATGAAATACATAATAATTAACACCACTTGTGTAAAATGATTTTGTTTTACAACAGATATACAACTTCTTTGAATAAATTATTCTTATTTGTGAAGAAATGTTTCGTTCATTTCAATACAAAAAAAAAAGTTTTAAAACTATTTTAACATATCATGATACATATCGTATCGTGGCTCAAATATAGTGATAAATATCGATATAAAAAAGTTGTATCGTCCCACCCCTAATTACAAGCATTAAACATTCTTCTTGCGTCCAATTTGCCTTCCCCCTTTTTTCCCCGTTTCTCATCACACGCCATGTCGTATGTATCAAGACCTATTTACATTCTTTCCTTTCAAAGTATATTGTGATGCCGTGTAACGTCAAAT